TTACATTTCAATCCTAGCAGAAGTATCAAAGATGAAACTTCTTAAAGCAACTCATGAAAATTCACCTAAAAGAAGATAAAACTGGGGGAAATTTTTTTTTTCCTAGAAAACTCAGTTCAGGAGAAGTGCCATTGAACAGCAATACTTTAATAAAATCCGTTTGAGGTAAGCTCAAGTACTGGGTATTTCACAGATCTATCAGCTTATAAGGGCCTTGGGGTGTCTGACATGTTAATTTACTAAAGCTACTTGCAAACAAAAGTCTGTATCATGAAAAGGAATGAAATAGACCAGTGTCTGTATTGACAAGGCACGAGCTCTCTAGAGGGGAGGGGAGTTGCAGAATACCACAATATACCATTTTGGTAAAAGGGCAAAAGACCACCTGGCATTATGTATGGGCAGATATGTTATGTACGTAAATGCATTTAAAAAAAAAAAATCTAGGCAGCTACATCCCAAAATATGAAAGTGGTTAGCTCTGGGGAGCTAGGTGGGATCAGAGGGTAAAGGGCATGGGGCGCCTGGGTGGCTCAGTCGGTTGGGCACCTGCCTTGGGCTCGGGTTATGATCGAGTCCTGGGATCAGCCCCGCATTGCATCGGGCTCCCTGCTCCGTGGGTAGCCTGCTTCTCCCTCTCCCTCTGCCCCTCCCCCTGCTTGTGCACTCTGTCTCAGATAGGTAAATAAAAATAAAAAAAAAAAAAAGAGAGAGGGTAAGGGGCAACCAGATCCCTTCATTTAGATATTTACATATTATTTACATTTCTTCACAATGGTACATTCACACATTGTTTGAGAAATTAAGTAAATTCACCATGTCTAGGTAGATGGACAAAATTGTCCTGTATATTCAGTTCATTCTCTAATTTACCGTTTGAGAAACTTCTGGGATGCTAACAGGATATTTTGATCATACATATTTTTTTTTTTTAAAAGAACATTTCCAATCCACATGCAAGAAGTGAGCAGAAGAGACCAGGCTGGAGGGGCAGGCTGGCTTTAACAGCCAGTTGTCTATAAACTCTCAATCAGCTTGTGATGATCTTGAGGCAAACTATCCAGGATTTTCTTCACCGCCAATCAGCTGGGGGCCAGGCAAGCACCATCGGTCCAAGTCCCGGGACCGCCACTCCTCCCTCAGGAAAACATGCTCAGGATGCGCTTGGTTATTAACCCTGCTTCTTTCTCTGTTCTTTGGAGAACCAGACATTTTCATTATTCTACTGTAACAGGCTGTGTAACGGGTTGCTCCACTAAACCTATGGTCAAGTATTTCAACTTCTTAGCGCAGCGAGCATAACCCCTTGCATTAAAGCAAAGGAGAGAACTGGGTTGGCATTTGCGAATGCCAGACTCTATAGGGGGCCGGTTTCAGTCTGCAGTGCCTGTGGAGAGGCCCATCACTATCTTTGGCTAGGACCCCGGGCAGGAGAAAAAAAGAGCATCTTAAAGCGTCTCCCACTCCGCAACTGGCATTAAAAAGGCTAAAAACGCACAGAAATGCTATCTATGTACAGAAAAACCTCTCATCGGTCTAAACAGGGCTGCCTTTAGAAGTACACGGTAATTTTTTAAATAGCCATTCAAGTTTTACATAAAGGCTCATACCAGAGGTTTTGGAAGATAAATGAAAGCACAAAGCCTTTATTGAATTGCAGATTATGAATAATAAGCCCAGTGGTAAGCACTGGGGGCAGATGTGCGTAGAAATGCAATTTATAAAATTTTCGAGGCAAACAATTGACATCTTTGAAGAAATCGTTAGCTTAAAAAAAAAAAAAGCTTCCAGGTGTGCAATTCATTCATAGTATTGGTAACTGGTGCCCAGGATATGACCTCAGGAAATGTCGAGATTTCATAAATCATTTGAATCAAATCTCTTTTTCTGGTAAATTCCTTAGTGCCTCTGCAGCGGTAACTAGACAAGATTGGAAAGCTTTCAAGATGATTCAAACCTCCAGCACCTCACAGGAGTCCACATTTCTTAACACAGAAGGCAATGCTAATCAAAGAAGGAAATAAATGAAAAGGTTATTAAAAACAAACACTGGCTCGCCAAACTTCTAAATATATACATCTATGTATATTCCACTAAACGAGGTTTCTCTCAATCGTCCATTCACATTTTATATCCAGAAACTACACATTCACCATTCACACTGTGCGGTAAGACAGTGCTTTTTCGTGATGAGTACAGTGAAGATTCTGGTACTTATCATTAAGTCTTTGGGTTATTTTAGGATTACAGGACTTTCAAAAGACTTTTTTTTTTTTTAAGTGACTCCTTCAAATTTAAATATATAAAAATCAGAGAGGGATCTTAAATTTTGGAGATTTCAGTTTAAGGACAAAAAGACATACTATGAGAAACTGCAACCAAATATAAAAGGTAATAATGAAACGATTTAGGGCACAGCCATGGACTGCACAGAACCCAAGTTGAAAGGCGAGATAAATTTAAACTCAAAAAAATCTGGCTGATAACCAATAAATAATTGCGCTCTCTTTAGAAGGGACGGCTGACTACAATCCATAAGAGAGGAGGGCTAAGTTAGCTTCACCAAGTTACTGGCTTTAGATAATGCTTCTCCTGGGCCTCTGTTTCCCCCAACCCACGCACCCCACGGGTCTGGTAATGGCCAGCTTGTGATACTTCATCATCTGTCATTACTCCAGCATCTTTAAGGTAAAACAACACTCCTAACAAATTCATCCAGACTATTTCCTTAGTGGGGCCCCGGGCTTGTAGTCACACAGAAGCTGCCGCAATGAGAAGCACACAAGGCCGTCCAGAACCACAGGGACTTACGTTAAAATGCAAAGATAATGATGTGCAAATACTAATAAACACTTGCGCTGAAATATACAAATTAAGAGATTTCCTGTTATCATCTGTTCTTAGTGATACGGCTAACGTTTCTCTCAGTAAATCCGGGAGATACCTCAAGTTCACAACTAGCAAAGGGGATGCGTTCTCTCTCTCTCTCTCGTTCAGTCTCTTCTACAGTGTGACCTCCTTCTGGCTAATAGACTGTGGACTAGGTTACATTTAATAGGGCATATACTTAAGTAGAAAACGTAAAGGCCAAATACTTAAAAATCACAAAACCTGCATTAGAGTAAAACAAACATTAGCAGTGTATTAACTAAAAACTGCCCTTAAGTAAATATTTAATTCTGGATAGCAAGTACATCAGCAGAGTTTATAAGCAATTCTCCTGGTGAATAATTCTGTCAACAATTTGATTTCCACAGCTGGTTATTATCTTTGATGGGAAAAAAAAAAAAAAGTTGCTCAAGGCGTCAAGTTAAAACAGCTCACAAGAAGATGGGAGAGAAACGGGCTTCTCCTTTACGAGCCATGCAACTAACTTCCATGGTAAAATCTGACTTCTTAGTTACGTTAAATATCAAGTAGCATACTGAAATGTGTTCTTTTAACGTTGATTCCGCCCATTAATGTTTTGACAAGATACTCTTGAGGTTCAGAAGCCGAGGCAAGATACAGACAGCACTTCCGACGAACTGCTCTTACATATCTTTGTTCCCATGGTGATGCTACACCATTCTCTAAGTATTTCACTAGATGAATTAAGTCACTGATGAAAACTAGAATAAAGAGTGACTATTAAATAGAACTTTCTACTCAACTAAGCTCAATAGAGCCATTTACGGAATGCTTTCCTCACAAAACAGTTGATGAGAATGTTGCTCTCCACTAACCGAAGCCGTTGAATGAGCTCAGAGAGCAAGAACGGATGGGTGAGAATGAACTCTTCTGATCATTAATTTAACACTTCAGTATTTATCAGAGCAAAATTGGGGATGTCTTTTTTATATGTTACCACTTAGTGTCTGAAAAGTTAATTGAGAAGCAACCAACCTCCTATCAACATTCCCAGTTAGTGACTGCACACTAAGACATCAACAGCATGTTCTCATTGGAGGAACGGATCGGTTTCAAACTGTACGTCAACGCTGAAGTAAAATGGACACGCAACCATGAACAGTAAGAATATCAACACAACTTAATGGTAATCCCCGATAACGGTGATTTCTAGGGATTTCTACAGAGCAACCTTGATAACTACATCCTAACCTAAATGGAGGGGTCTTTGCAGTGAGCACGTGGCAGCAAGAGGGTCCCGCAGTTCACCGTGGCCATCCTCTCTCCTGGCCCGCCTACAGCTCTGGAAACCCCAAACACTAGTCCACAGGTTAAGACAAACACAACTCACACTTACCATGACACGGGGGAGGGAATGAGAAAACACTTGGGAGGTACGAGACTTCAGAGAAAAAAAAAAATAGACAATTAGTCACACTGTCCCTAGCACGCAGGCTTTTACCCTGTGAAGACTTTACCCAGGAATATCTGGAGCCAAAGCAAATGACCCAAGTTTTAATGACCGGCACAAAATGCAAATAAAGGTAAAACACACTGAAATTAGGACAAAAATATAGTATGATCAACTGTTGAAGCCTGGAGGGCAACGACATGTAAAGCCAGTAATCAAAGCGAGATTTGGAAACCGTGTGCAACATCTCCGAACGAGACAAAGACACTAAAAACCAGGCACCTTCAATGGACACCTTAAAACCGGAGGGAGAAAATGCATGTACCTTTGTCATCAACACTTAAGCACTCAGGTTTTGCATGGACACGAGTACAAACTATCAGCACTTCTAAAACCAGATAAACACTGAAATGTTTTTGTTATGACTTTTCAAGGAGCTTCGACACCAACCAGGTACGCGTAATACACGTTTGCCAGAGAAATGTCACCACAGCGAGGCAGATTTGTAAGATCCCCTTCTACAAGTACGAGCAAAGGAAGGTTATGGCTCATGAGTATGGATGGACTGTAACACTTAAATGACACATTTCTGATATAGTCACAAAATCTTTATAGAAAGTACTGGAACTCAAAAGAAGAAAAAAGACAGGAGTCTGTAAATACAGAGATGAAATGTACAAAAACAAATGAGCAGGCAAACTAAAAGTTCTTGAAAGTATTTTTACTTCAGATTGAAAAATGAACAGCTTTCCACACTGTTCATTGCAAGATACACAGTATTCACGAATACAATGCTGGTCATTTGAGGATATATACACACCTCAATTTCTCCTTCATGCTTTTTCTTTTAGAAAGATACTGTTTACCAAAAAGAAACTTCAGCAGTACAGGAAAAACTATTTTCCCAATAAATTTACGAAAACCTAAGATTCCCAATGGAATCAAGATTATCTTCCCGCTACCACCACCTTAATATAATCACATGCTTATTGGAACGCTAATATCTGCACCCTAAGAGTACATTTACTTTCAACAATGAGGGTGATTCTTAAAACGAAACAAAACAACAAAGGAAAAAAACTTCAGTGTGGTAAATGTAACAATGGATCTCTGCAAGTATTAAGTGTCTGAAATAGGCAGCTAATACTGGATTTAATATTATTTTATAAATGTTCCCTTAGCGGTAAATATCAGTCTACACGTTCGCAAGAGTCCTAGAAATAAATACTGTGATTATGCACAATATGTTATGACAAACTAGTTTCAAAGAACAAAAGCTCAACATCTTGATAAAAATTCTGATCAGAATAAAATGGGACTCGAAAATTTAAAACATTGTCAAAATAACATCACATTTAAAATTTTCCACAGTTTACACAAGTATCAGGAGTTTCCAGTTGTGGAACACATTTTTCTGTTGTGAATTAAAATACGAACATATTGAAAACTGTTAATTTCAGTGATGACATCAGTTTTGGTCTTTCTTTAGCATTATTTTCTTTATAAAAAGTTGCACTAAGTGTCCATTAATAGTCTGATTGGTCTTCAGTATTTCATAAATGTATATAAAAGAAATTCCTAAAAGCCAATAGTACTTTATATGTATATATATATATGTATGTATATATACACACACACACATGTATGTATGCATATATATATATATAAAAGAATCTCATTTCAGAAATGGCTATAATTAACAGAGCCACACACACTGATGCTAAACATAAGAGCTTTCACATTGAAAGAAAGCATTTTCAGAAATGTCACTTACATCCTATTATATTCAATATTCCCGAGTTTGAAACTCAACATGGGATGGATAACAGAATTATACATCTCATTGGTGCTCAAAGCTGACCACAACCAAAATTTACAGGATTGAAACAAGCCAATGTTTTAAAAAGTTTTAATTAAAGATAACAATTCCATGGAAGGAGAGGATAAAGAATGGGATGACAAGAAGTATTTGGTCTTAATAAGGCAATACAAAATAGATCCATTATCAAAGACCATTTAATTTTTAAAGATCAACAATACCAAAAGCATAAAGTGGAGTATAAGAAAATAGTTTTTTATAAGTATGATTTAATTAAAGCTGTTTACAGTTATTCTCTCCCACAGTAGTTAAGCATGGATTTAAAAAAGAATAAGAGATGAGAAAAACAAGCACGCGCGGTACACAGGATTAGAAGGGCCAGCATGCAAAGTCTGTGGAACTCGGGGAGTCACTGCAACAGCAATGGGACTGGACGCGGGTGGCCTTTTTTGTCCTATTAGGAAGAAAAACAAAACAAAAAAAGACTGCAAAGGAAACAAACACAAAGTCATGTAATTGCCCATTGCCCAAGACGACAGCACTGTAGAAAACAGTTGCAAGGTAATTCTTAGAGATGACTAGAGATTTTTTCAGTGTTTACACAAAAGTACATAGTATTTTTTTTTTTTTTTTTTTTTTTTTTACAAAATAAAACGTCATTTGCCACCATAAACCTTTTCTTTAGAGAGGAAAAATTTTTGCAGCAGGTCACAAGGGTTCTAGTAAGTCATTTCAATGCTGAGGAAAACAAATTGAGTAATAGAACTAATCACTTCCCTATATATGGATGTTAAGATGACAAGTCAGATTATTTTTCAAACTAATCCTGAGAAAAATCTGTTTACAATTTAAACAGTAATGTTATGTAAAAAGTATTAACAAATCCACTATTACAAATATCAATTTCCTATATGGTCATCTATATATACACACAATAAAATGGTAAATATATGCAAAAATATTAAAAAAAAAAGAAAAAGAAAACATGCACAGATCACTTTCCCCTTTGGAATCTGGACTTCCTATGAGATACTTTTGTTTTCTTTCCCCACCCCATCCTCTGAAATCGGTTTTTGTTTCTATCACCCTACCCACACTGAATACTATTCCCTATAACTCTGCATAAAGCCAATGAGAAATAGATTTATTTTACATTCAAGCTTTAAATCTTAAAATGACCCTGTTGTAGCATATGACTTATCAAATGAGCAGCCTTTTTTTTTTTTTCCCCCTTTTTTGCTTGCTTTTTGTTTTTGCAGTTGTCAGTCTTCATGATCCATTCCGTGGCGAGCTGGGAAAAAACGCAGTTGCTAAATCAGAGTCTGAACAGCGTAAGGCTCCCGAATGCCAGGAGTCCCTATCCAACTGTCCTGAGCACGAGATCACTGCACACAGAAGACAGTCCATCGTACAACGCCGACTATCTACAAAGGTCTGAGAGGGGGGCATCCCTCTTGTGTTTCCTCTTTTTGCCATGGTAATACTGATTATTTGATTTGCCTTGATGCTGTTTGTTTGTCATCAAGGAACCATGGCTTGTTTGAGTTGTACCTTGGAAGCCTTTGCTGGAAGAACGAAAGAGCCTTGCTGATCCATGCTGCAGAGAAAGAAAGTGGTCAAAGAGACATCAGTCTTGTGGATTCAACAGAGCACTCGCTAAGACCTGACTTGGGGCGCTTTTAAAACGAGGAATACACTGACTTATGTAGCAAGCAGAAAACGATGCTACAGGGGTTTCACTCTCTTGAGCTCTAACACTCTTCCATTCTTTTTTAATGGAAATATTGGAATACTGCCTTGACTTCTTAACAGAGTGCATGGAACGTGAAACTGTTCTCAAGGAACCTATCCACCAAGGTACTACATCATAAATGGCATTACTGGAAGAAGCGCTTAGACACACAGGTACACTGCCAGGTCAGGGGTCATCACGACCGGCAGCCCCTTCCCTGCTCTCTGTCACTTTAACTGCCACTTGTAAATGGATCTGGGTGTGGTGCACATGATGAAGCTGTTAAGGTAAACTGGATTCTAGGAGTCAGGTCAGACATGAGGTGACCAACATTAAGAGTTCATCTCTACTGCCAAGAGGCCTTCCCCAGGGTCCCCAGGGTACTGAGGGTCAGAGCCCAGTATGAAATGGCTCCTTTCCTCATGTTGATTCATTCTTCATGATTAATAAAATTTCAGGCAACTCCAAAACTGAAAATAGAGTATTTTCTGTGGCCTTTTTAAGTCAAAGCTGATAGGAATTGACTGACCATGGTTGACCACTGCCCAATCATTTCAACACAAGCAACTAGGTACTGAATATTAAAATATAAAAAAAGGATATATTACTCCCAGATATGCACGACACTGCTGTGAGGTCATGTACAAGCTTCATGTGAGCTTACTTCAAGTATAAGTCAATCTTTTTATAACTCATTTTTTTAATGCTCCATCTGTAATAAGGTGGGTTGGCTGGAACATCTTATAAGAAGCAGTCATAAATTCCCACAAAGGTTTACATTACAATGGTGTCTCATTAACGATCTTCAGGACATCCTATTACTAGAAGCACTGCGCTTTGGAACCTCTTAGAAAAAAACACGTTTGTTCTTTAAACCTAGAGTTTTCTTCAAATCCATGATGGATAGATGGATGGATAGATATACATACATTCACGTATATATATTCGCGTGTAAGAAATTCTAAGTATGCTGTATCGAATACTAACCATCAAAAACACACATTCCACACACCTGAGATTTGTTGGTGCTGTTGGAGGTGTTAGTGGTTTGGGTGCTCTGCATTTTCCCAACTGCCTGAGAGGACTCTAAGGACACGTCTTGCGACCCTACTCGGTTCCCGGCGGATGGACGGCAGAGCAGCTGTTTCGGGGTTTTGCATGGTGTTGCGTCGGAATCCTAACACAAGTCATACGGGTTATAACGTGACATATTAATAATTTAGAAATTCAGTATTAAGGAGGCTAAACAACTTCAGCTAAGTACTCTCTGGACTAAATTTAAACATCTGGGAGTCGAAGGAAGCACCCTGAGGAATTTATAAAATTAACTGCTTAAGCTTTCCTTCTTTCACAAATTTCCCTCCAAACATTCACAGTGGCTTATTTTATCAGAGGGTCTCTGTTTGTTGCTAAATCTATTGCCCACGCCTGACCTTGTTAATCGGGGCTCACAGAGGTCCAAGTTTATCTGCACATCTATTTACAGGAAATGAACCCTGGTACTGTGGAAAGAACGTGGCCAAGACAAGGCCCTAGGTCCCTGACTCAACCAAAACCAAAATGGTTGGTTCAAAAGGCTCCATTTCTGCAAGTCTGCGATGACCAGTCAGTGAGGCCTCCAACCGAACACCCCACGTGGTGAAGAGCTTCCTGGAGACAGTGGGCTGCGCGCCAGCTGTTCCTAGGCTGCCTGGGCCAGGGTTGTGCCACGTCTCCCCTCAGGGCTCCCCTTCACCTGCACACTCTACCCAGCGGCTCAGAGGCCCACGCTCCTCGTCCCTAAGGCTCCCTCCTGAGGCCGGCTCTGCTCCCGCCCCACTGCGTCTGTGACACGCAGCTCAGCTGCGTCCTCCACATGGGGGCTCGTGCAATGTGAGGATTCGTGACTCCATTATGATACATGGTCAGCAACAACAACATAACATTACGTCCCTTCCGTATTTAGATTCCTCTTTAGTTCATACGCTTGCTAAAGTCAAAATTCAAATAATTGGTAAGCCCATTTTATATTTCAATGAAGTAAGCTCAACCTGATGAGGGAAAGTAACTGCGGGTATAACCGCTCCTGAGAATTCCGTCAGGGCTGGCGCCGGACAGTCGGCGCAGGGCTGCCAGGGGCCTCGGGGAAGGAGGAATTGTGAGGGGCTGCTACCAGGTGTCTTTCCAGAGTGACGGTCACGTCCCGGACTTAGTGCTCATGGCTGCACAGCAGCGTGAATACACTGAAAACCCCTGAACTGCGCATTTTAAAATAGTGAATTATATCTCAATTTTTGAAACTTCAATCAAGAAGCTCAAAAACATTATGGAGTGGAAGAAGCCTTACGCAAAAGAGTATACACTATCATCATTCCACTTATGTGAAATTCTGGGACACGCAAAACCAACCTGTGCAATCAGAAAATCCTAACAGCGGTTACCTCCGGGGTGGAATTCAGGACTGATGGGAAAGTGTCACGAAGGACTCCTCTGGGATGATGGCAATAGTCTATGTCTTGTTATAGGTGGGGTTACACACGTGTATACAGTTGTTAAGATTTAGTGAGGTACAACCCATTTTATATCGAAAGAAAAACCTAACCAAACGCTGAACTCTGGTTAGTGAGGAGCACACTGCTGTACTTGGGGGAAGTGCCCGTAACTTACTTTGAAATGTATCAAAGAATAAGATGAATTGGTGGACAGAGGGATGAATGAATGGCTGGCTATGGGATAAGCAAGTGACACGTCAACTGTAGGATCTGATGGTAATATATACGGACGCTCACTGAAATTCTTTCACTCCTGCTGGATGCTTGAAAATTTCAATCCAGTGTTGGGGACGTGTACAATCAGTGACCTTATTAAAATCTCCCAGGAACCAGTAAGAAAAGGAGTTAGGCTTAGCCGTCTAGACAGAGCCCCCCACCCGCCCCCACCCCGGGCTCCCAGGTCTCTAGGGCAGAAAAGCCATGTGCTCATACTTACGACATCACTGGAGCTGGACTGTGTGGCAGAAGAGGAAGACACTGGACCTGATGAAGAGTTTGAAGAGTGTTTACTAAGAGATTCCGAAGTTTTACTTCTACATTTTCCAAGGGCTTCATTTTCTTCAGATAGATTATTATTACATTTATCTAACTGCTGAGTATCTACTATCAAGGTAACACCATTTCCTGAAAGAGTGGCAAAAGATTGGAAAACGTTTCTTCCCATTAAACACACACAACACAGAAAAGCCACGAATGCTCAGTCAATCAATCAGTGAGAAACTCTTACCATTGCACGAAGGCTCCGGCCTATTCTGCAAGCCCCACTGCTTTGATATCCAATCTCTGTACGTGGCAACTTCGTCCGTTACTCTAATTATTCTACCTAATATGCTGCATGGGTTTAAAGAAAAAAAGGGGGGGGGTCATTAATTTGGAGATAAGAAGCCACAACCAATTCTGACCCAATGGGCTGACTTTAGTTAAACCTTTACCTCTCTGTTTCGTTGTTGGGATAATACTTGGCTATTGGCGATACAGCGTGACTCAAAACAACATAGGCATAATCAAAGGCCTGTTTCACTTGCATGGCCCCATATGAACTCCTTCCAACATCGTTACCTTTAAAAGAAATGTATATAGAAGACAGTAAGCGTGACCATTGCTTAATAAGAACTAAATGCTCATGGGCCCTCTTCCAGAAGAGCAAGGGCAATTGCTTTCCTGCTACAGTTGTACAAAGAGTCTGGGCAGGCGGTCGTCCCCACAACTCCTCAGGCTCTGAACCTGTGTATCACGCAGTAAGTACGTTATGGCATATAAATTGCCTAAATGCATTCCGGCCCAACAGGGACTATCCCACAATACAGTCATGCAAACAAAAGGAGTTAACTGCCTGCTCTCTCCTAAGAGTGAAACCAAGCTAAACGAGACATCCCCATCTTTTGTTTCTATTAGCTATCTAAATATCTCTGGCAGGAAATTATGAGCTCCCGAAGAGCAAGGACCACTTGCTGAAAATCTTTGTGCCCTTTGCGTCGAGTAGCCTCCCGATAAACATTTCCTCAGTGAATAAACACGCAGAACTATGTTTGTGATATGGCACAATCAGCCACAAAAGAGCCCCTAGGCAACTACTCTCTCTCTGAACTCCCTCTTCTTCTCCACTTTCAAAGTTAACACAGTTAAGCAAATGACTAAAAGCATCTCCACTGAAGTCTGATAATGTAGAATCTAAATACTTTAGAATTATAGCAAGAAAAATATATTGCCCAGAAAAACTAGGATACAAGCAAATAAACATAACCCCACGTAAGCAAGAAAAGGGCCTGCTGGTCCCTTTCAAGCCAACGTGAAGCTGGAGAAGGCACAGGGAGACCATGCAAAATTAAAAGAGGAAAGAAGGGGCCCAAAAGGAAAATGAACGGTCTCTTTGAGCCCTTTCGCTCATTGTTTCTGAGGTATATTATGCTCATTGTCCCTGAGGACTTCAGAAACCTCACTTAAAGCCCTGACTGACAATAGGCTGGAATCAGGGGCAAGGAGGACACAACAAAGCAGAAAAACGGCCTTCACATTGTTCACAAACACCCCCAACGGCTAATACCTATACTCCTCGGCCTCTCAGGGTCAAATGGATTCTACTCCCAACGCACTGGGAGGACGCGGCGTGTTTTCCTGGTGTATATGCACACACGTGTGTGTGTGTTTTCGTATGTTTTCTTACAAAATATTTTTATGAAAAAGAATGAATACAATCAGAAGTTAATCTTTCATTTTTCATCTAAAGAGAGATTTTATTTTAAAGATGTATTTATTTATTTAAGTAATCTCTGCACCCAACGTGGGGCTCGAACTCACGACCCCAAGATCAAGAGTCACATGCTCCAATGACGGAGCCAGCCGGGTACCCCTCCTCTAAAGAGAGTTTAAAATGCAATACTGACAATGCCCTTTCTTTGAATGCCCACAAATTTACCTAATTTCAATACCTGGTTGTAAAGGATCTTCAATATAAAGCATCGATGGCCTGTAGCCATCGAGCATATTTTTCTGTACTTCATCTTTGGCCACATATGAACCACCATCCTTTATCCGGATGCCAGTCTTTAAATAATTGAAGTGTCGTCCATATAATTCAAAAAATTCTATTAAGAGAACACCATAGTTTGTATTGGGGATGCAAGCATCTTCCCTGGGATGTAACTAAAACCGGGAAAGAAAAAAAAAAAAAAAAAGAAATTATATTGGATTTTCTCTGAATTATCAAGGTGGGGAGAATCAGTGACATCCTAACTTTGACAAAACAGTACTATTCTAGTTTCGGTTAGGCTAGCAGCCGACAGGAAAACTGAGGCACAGCAGCTGTATTGCTGTTACAGGCAACACGAGAGCCCAAGGGTGCACAACAGTGGCGGACAATCTATTTATAAAATTCAAGGCTGAACTTTACAGCTGCCCCAGGACGCTGACGGGCTGACGTGGCCCCAACACATCAGGGAAGCCATTCGGCCTCACGAGCGACACCGTGCCTCACAAATACATTCAGACCAATTAGGACTTCAAACTCATTCTACCCAGATAGCAGGTCCCAATTCCAGCTGAACTTCCTAGAGGCTTAGAAGATATTCTTGTTTTTGGCATTTACACTACTATTTACACTTAGGAAAACCACGCCACACCTATGCATGTTAAAATCTGAGTGAAAATTCTCAAAACTACTAGAACGTATGGGATTAAAAAGAAAAAAAGTTCTTTCCTGGGATTTAAAAATGCTTATTTGTGAAATTATAAAAAGGTACCCAGTTTAAAGGAGTCATAATTAAGGGAAGCATTCCAATTAGAACTTGATCTAAATTTTTTCCCAAAATGATTCTGAATTGATTTATTTTATTTTATTTTGGTGTACACTAGGCATGGTATAATCAAACAACTTACCTGAAGGAAACTGACTGCCATTAAAAAGAGACTATATGAACCAATTCCACCTGTAAATACTTCATTAAGGTCCCTCTGTAATAAGAATTGTTTCAATACTAAAACCAAGTATGGTAATACAGGATATTTCTGAAAAAGAAAATTATATTTTCAGTGAATTCCTATTTCAGTAACTGTGCTAAGCATTATCAGGAGCATAAACTGGTCCTTACATTACAAACTTTAGTGGAGATATCCAATACACTTAATTTTCTATTTTAAGAGCAAGCTAGAAAAAAGTAAGCTGTAAGTAATTATAAGGATTTTCTTCTCACATCTAAAAATCTAAAACAGGTAGATGTAAATAATGGCATCTAAGTACTCACCATGGGACAGAAACACTAGCAATATATATTTGATGACATTTATTTATTACCATGTTTATTACCATATTGAATATTTATTTTTCACCATATTAAATTATTTATTACCATACGCTATTGACTTGTAAACAGGTAACAGAAACAGTACAGGACCAATTCTTAAGGCGATATGCACTAAGTCAGTGAGTTTGAAGGAATTGCTTTTCTCAGGGGGCGCTCCAGCAAGCGGACCAGGGTCTTTCAGATGACTGTGCCCAGTGCCGGAGCAGGGGCAGGGGCAGTCCTGCCTGCTGTCTTCCATGTGGGCAGGAGACCACACACAGACCCACCTTGCACGCTTTACAGAGATGGGTGAGAACCCCTTAGCTGGCAAACACGGACAGCGAGTCCGTCTTTTACTCAAGCACGGACTCCTTAAGTGCTCTCCACAAGCCAGGCGCTAGGCTAAGGACGCTGAGGGGAACAGAGCAGACCCAAACATCTAGAAAGAAGTCTTAATGGCCACTATCTAGGAGGGGTAGAATTACTAGTGATTTCTAGCTTGTTCTTGACACTTAGAATGAACACATACTGCTTCCAAAAGAAACAACAAAGTTTATGCTTTTGCAAATCATGTCAAAGAAAGCAAGCATGAAAAATAACAAAAAATCTTTGGAGAAATAATCATTCTTAAACATTATGGTTGAAGACATGAATAGATGGTCTCTTTAAAGCACAATCAGGCAAATTTCCAACAGAATTTGATCTGCATATACCCTTTGACCCCGAAACTCCACTTCCAGAATCTTCCTACAAATAATTTTACAAGTGTAAAGAAAGATGCAGGTATGGAAGGATGTTCAAGCACTTTCTGTGAAAGCAAAAAACCCTGGGAACATCACCAGGGCAGTACGACACAAAGCATGGGGTAGCCTGACAAAGGACTACTGCGTTGTCAGTGAAAAGAATGAAGGAAACCTGTCTGTGCTGATATGAAAACCTCCAAAAAATATGAGACGATGTGTATATAGCATATTATTCCTTTTGTTAAAAATTTCAAGAGGATAATCAAAGGAAACAAACTGAGGGTTGCTGGAGAGGAGGGGGGTGGGGAGGAAAAGATAATAGAGTTCGCATAAAATTTAAAAATTTCTTGGAAAAACAAAAATTTCAAGAGGATAAACAAGCCAAAAGGAAAGCTTGATGATGGTAAATCCCATGAAGTTGATTTAAGCATAAAGTATAAAAGTGACTCATTTTTCATTTTCCTCTGATATTGGTAAATTTTCTATCACGCGTATTATTCTCAATTTAAAAAAAAGGTTTCTTTTCTGGGAAAAAGAAAATTTCCACACACCAAACACCTCCAAAAGAGCAGGATTATGAACAATCTTTTTCTTTCTCTGCTTTCCTGTACTCTGCACATTTATACAAGAATATAATGTTTACAACACGGTAAGGTAAATTTTTTTTCTCACAAAGAAACGAAATAGGTGAAATCTGTAGAGTTGATAAAAAAAAAAAGTATTCTGAATGGATAGAAAAGATATTCTAGGTGAACCAAAGCAGTTAACAGTTTTTAGCTTAAGCAGAAAAAGGCTGACGTGTACGCATGTGAATGTTCTGAAGATGCTGACAAATTCTTCCCTGTCTTGGAAGAACGTCGAACAAATGAAAACAGACATTAGGTCACCTCAAGACAAAGTAGGGAAACCTGCAGGAACTACCTTACAAGTGACTTGGGGGGCTCAGGAGGTTCTTCATCTACACTCCTAAGAGATTAAAAGCAGACAAGAATGGGCGCCTGGGTGGCTCAGTTGGTTGGGCGACTGCCTTCGGCTCCGGTCATGATCCTGGAGTCCCGGGATCGAGTCCCGCATCGGGCTCCCTGCTCGGTGGGAAGTCTGCTTCTCCCTCTGACCCTCCCCCCTCTCATGTGCTCTCTCTCATTCTCTCTCTCTCAAATAAATAAAATCTTTAAAAAAAAAAAAAAAAGCAGACAAGAATGATTATTCAGCATTTCAGTCCTTATCTCCCCTAAAAGGAAGGATCGAGAGCAGAGAAGTTCTTCAAAAGTTTTCCAAACCCTTGACTTGAGGTCCCATTATAAATTACTGATTATTACAAGCAGATTCAAGGAAAGTAAGGCCACCGCACAGCAAAGAAGCACTTGTCAGCAATGGACACATCAAAACAGTTTCGCAAAGCATATCAGAACCTCCAAACAGAAGTCCCTTTCTCCGAGTCTCACTGAATCCACACTATGAATTCTCTGACCTTGGTAAAATCTTTGATGAGGTCGGCTGCTCTCACACCGTTCTGTACATTAAAGCTGATATCAACTTTCACTTCAGTAAAAGAATCTGTTAATTTAATAATAGGTACCTAGAAAGAGAAGAAAGGCAAAAGGCAACATTAAAACACTTAAACAACATGATTGGGGGATGGAAAGGTTACTAGACTTGAGGTCTCCACCTCCTCATGAGGACGTAAGAACTCCTGAGTGTCCTGAATACTACACATCACACCTCCCTCGGCCTGTTAGATACTTTACATATTTAGCATTTAACCTCATACACTGTATTGTATCATTTCTATTGGCTGAGAATTTTGAAATGACGTAACAAAAACCTTTCTCAATATTCTGTACTTTGAATAACAGCTTCCAGCTCAGTGTAGCATCAAGAATTATGAATGTCAGGCCTATCAGCAAATTGTTCCTAATTAGAAAGCTGCTAGATCAGGTGAAACACAATAGTCCACTGGTATTATTGGTCAGTTTTGCAAATAGCCCATAAAACAACCTCCCAAGACAAGTTAAGACATGAGAATTATTCTCAAATTTAAAAAATGACTGAATGATTTATATGAGATATTAGAAATTCTTAAAAAAAAAAAAAAAAGGCAAACCATAAGACACTCTTGAGGAAACAAACTGAGGGTTGATGGAGGGGAGGGGGGTGGGGGAATGGGGTAATTGGGTGATGGGCATTAAGGAGGGCACTCGATGTAATGAGCACTGGGTGTTATATGCAACTGATGAATCACTGAACTCTACCCTTGAAACTAATAGTAAAGTATATGTTAACTAAATTGAACTTAAATAAAAAATTATTTAAAAAAGTCTCTGGGGCACCTGGCTGGCTCAGTCAAAAGAGTATGTGATTCTTGATCTCAGGGTCGTGAGTCTGAGCTCCACGTTGGGTACAGAGATTAGCTAAATTTTTTTTTTTTTTTAAAGGCTCCATGTGTGCCATGTATTAGAAAACTCAGGCCAGCAAACTCTATCTGCAGAATTGCGTTTCCAAATTAATAGCTTTTTATTAGAAATAGTATAAGTTGTTTTTGTTCTAAGGAAAGCTAACATACAAAACTCCAAACTTCTAAAATAGATCAATTTATTTCTATAATGAGCATCCATGAACTACATTCTGTAATGGCCATTCTAGATAGAGTTAAAGTATCAAGTTACTTGATCAACAAAATTTCAATCACAGTTGCCCCTAGAACAACACAAGTTTCAACTGTGCGCTTCACTTTTATACAATTTTACACAATACTGTTAATGTACTGTCCTTACGATTTTCCTAACATTTTTCTCCCTCTAGCTTGCTTTATTCTAAGAACATAGTATATAATACATATAACACACAAAATATGTGCTAACCAACTGTTTATGTTATCAGTAATCCTCCCAGTCAGCAGACAGCTTTTAGTAGTTTTGGGGGCATCCAAAGTCACATGTGGATTTTCAACCATGTAGGGGGGCCCCCATGTTGTTCAAGAGTCAACTGTATATATAATTTTTCAAGGACAAACAGTAAGAGAGAAGAGCAACATCTTCTGTATAACTATAAGCTGTTCAACAGATCGCCATATTTTTATTTATACTTTTTTATATTTAAAAACTCTACAGTGGGTATTATGTATAAGACTGAATATTATTTTTTTAAAGAAATATATAACCACAAGTTCATTTGTTTCATAAAATTTATATACAAGGATTGTGATCATTAATGAAAGGAAAGAATCATTTACTGAGAAGCCCACTATGCTCACCAAAATTAAATTTTAATTTTTTAAGTTTCATGCATTAGTAACCAGAGATTTTTAGATGAAATGTCAGAAGAACTTACAGTTGCTTTGTCTAGAACTTTCACCGAATCCTCATCAGCAACTTTATGTTTCCGAAGGGCTTCTTCCAGGGTCCAGAGGGGAAGGTTCTCCCACTTCCCAAATACCACGAGATCAATGTCACTGAACACAGAACACACACACAAAAGTTGTTTGAAGAAACTGTACTTGTTTTCACTTATGTTCAGGCTTCCAGACTTCAAATCAGTGCAATGAAAACCTATTCCTCTCACTGCCCAATGAAGACCTAAATGTGTTGGCGGTGGCTGCTTTTTAGAGGGGAAGGGGAGGCTGGTGACTTTAACAACCATCTCCTTCTAGTCATCTCACAGAAGTCAGGCCTCAGGAAACGGTGATTTTGGAAGAAGTAAAACCTCAGAAAACACCAGTGAACATTTCCTGTTCATAAAGGTTTCTGAGACTAAAAAACTTAAGACATGCCCACGTGGATGAGATTAACTGATCAACTGATTTAGACAATTAAGTGTAAAAAGTACGCTGCAAACAGTGTATGTAGGATGCCACCATTTGGATGAAAAAGGAAGAAGACACATACCCGTTTCCCTTTATATGTACAGAATGTTCCTGGAAGGACGTGTGAGAAATGGGTACCATACCAGTGGCTCCTCTAGGAGCAGGGGACACAGGTGGGATCCACGCTTTTCACTGTAATTATTGTGTGCCTTTTCAATCTGAACTATGGGAATGCACTACATATTCAGAAAATTCAATTAAAATTTTCACAGTGACTCAGGGTTTTGCTTAAACTCAGAATCTAAATAAGGAAAAATATTCATGAATGCCAAGTTGGATATTTTATGGCTTTTATGGGCCTACGATAACAACGGGCAGCAAAGAAATTGCTAGGATCTCTCCACATCAACACATTTTAAGTTTGGGTAAAGTAGATCAAATCAAGCTCAAATCCAAAAACATGATGGATGCCTACAGTTAAAATCATACTGTACTGTGCACCCAATACTGTGTTAGGAGGATAAATCTCACATGAAGTGTTCTTACCACAATAAAAGTAAAAGCAAACACATGGTGAAATTTCAGTTTATAGAAAACAGGTTTTCACTCCTTGGGGAAGCCTTATCATATCCCCAAAAAGGCCCCACCTTGCCCCAGGCCGTGGGCCACTACTGGCCTCATTTAAGGAGACTGAAATTAATAAGGGGCCTTCCTCAGAGAAGAGTCTGGAGCCTGAAACTCTGGGCCTGGATGCTGGAACAACTGCTAATAGTCTGAATTCTTTTTTTTTTTTTTTTAAGATTTTATTTATTTATTTGTGTGAGAGAGAATGAGAGAGAGCACATGAGAGGGGGG